GAGAGATAGAGGGAGAGGTAGAGACAGAGGAATCTTCCATCTGCTGGTTCACTCCCCAAATGGTAGCAGTGACTGGGCTGGGCCAGCCCAAAGCCAGGAGCCAGGAGTTTCTTCTGGGTCTGCCAAGTGAGTGTCAGGGGCCCAAGCCCTTGGGTCATCTTCTGCTTTCCCAGGTGCATTATCAGGGAGCTGGATCAGAAACACAGCAGCCAGGACTGGAAGCAGCAGCCATGTGGGATGTCGGCGTTGCAAGCAGAGGCTTAGCCTGTTACCCCACAGCACCAGCCTCAGATCATCTTTTTAATGTTGGCATTTAAAGCTAGAAATTTCTCTCTGAAAACTGGTTTTACAGCATCCCCTAAGATTTGGCATGGTGCCAGAATTCAGCACGAGGTGTTTGAGAATTTCTCTTAAGCTTTCTTTGACCCATTTGTTGAGCGTTTTCATTTCAATGTATTTGTGAATTTTCCAGGTGTACTTAAAAAAGATTTACTTATTTGAAAGGCAGAGAGAGTGCGAGATCTTCCATCTGCTAGTTCAGTCCCCAAGTGGCTGCAACAGCCATGTCTGGGCCAGGCAAAAGCCAGCCCCTAGGAACTCCATCCAGGTCTTCCACGTGGTTGCAGGGACCCAAGAGTTTGGGCCATCATCCACTGCCTTCCTAGGCACATGAGCAAGGCTGTATGGGAGGTGGAGCAGCCAGGACTTGAGCAGGTATTCCAGCAGGGAGCTGCAGGCGTAGTAACGCCAGCGCCTCGAGCGTTAACTTCTATTGCTGATGTCTGACATCAAAGGAGATACTTCATATGATGGGTGTCCTCTTAAACCTACTGACACTTATTTTGTGGCCTAATGTTTCGTAGAGAAGGTCCCGTGTGCTTGAAGAATGTGGGTCTGCTGGATAGAGTGTGTGGAGCACATTGCTAGCTTGTTTCCTCCGAGTCCTCTGTTCCTACTTACCTCCTAATTGTTGCAGCCATCGTTCCAAGTGAGCTACTGAAGTCCGCGTCTATTACTGTAGAACTCTTTCTACCTCCAGTTCTGTCACTTTTGATATTTTGAGGGTGTTATTAGGTGTGTAAAGTTTATAATTGCTTTATCTTTTTGCTTTTATTAATATGAATGACATTTACTTGTATGTAATTTAATGGTTTGTCTCTTGTATCCTGTTCTGATTTAAGGTCTCTTTGGTGTTAGGACTTCCATCCCAGCTCTTCTTTGGATACCTGTTTGCATGGAGTGGTCGCTTCTTTGCTTACACTTTTCCCTTTTCTTCTCCTTTCGCTTTTGATCTTTCTGTCTTTGGAGCTAAAGTAAGATTGTTATAGACAGCATAGGGCTGAATCACGGTGAGTTTATTTTTTTTTTCTTCTATTTTGAGAATCGGCTTTTTGTTTGAGTTTAACCCCTTTAATTTTAAAAGAAATTACTGATAAGAGAGGTCTTCTTTCATTTTATTTGTTTTCTAGAGCCTTATAGGATTTCTTCCATTATTGCTTTCTTTTGTGTGTATTTTCTGTAATGAATGTTTTGATTCCCTTTTGTTCTAGAGATCTTTGTGATAGCCATGAGAATATTAGTTAACATCCTAAAGCGATAATCTAATTTGAATTTATACCAATTTCGCTTCTCTAGCATACAAAAATTACTCCTGTACACCTCATCTCAACCTACTGAAATCACAAATGATGCCTTTATATATTGCGTGCCTAACCATATAGATTATTACTCTGTAAGCATTTGTATTTAAATTATTTGAATATACAATCTGGCTACCAACCAAAATGACGAAAGCACTGTTTTTGAGGTTGCCTGTGTATTTATCCGAGATCTTCATGCTTCATGTGGCTTTAAGTTACTGTCCAGCATCCTCTCATTTCAACCTGCAGGGCTGGTTTTGGCATTTCTTAGTGGGCGGGTGCCGGGAACACATTCCTCAGCTCTTGTTTATTAATGAGTCAATTTCTTTAAAAATGCATCTACTTCAGAAGCAGAGACAGAGAGGGCCCCCACGCGAAGGGGTCAGGAACTGCATCACGTTACCCTGGGGGCAGCGTCTCCGTCCTAGGCCAGGTGCCGGCCCCTCCCTCCCTTGTTCTTAGGGAGTGGTTTTGCTGGACAGAGCTGTGACTGAATCCACCAGCCCGGCCTCCCCTCCCCCGCGCCGCTGGTCTCCGACTGTCCGATGGCGGCCTCCCCTCCCCCGCGCCGCTGGTCTCCCAGCTGTCCGATGGCGGCCTCCCCTCCCCCGCGCCGCTGGTCTCCGACTGTCCGATGGCGGCCTCCCCTCCCCCGCGCCGCTGGACTGCCAGCTGTCCGACGGCGGGCTCCCCTCCCGCGGCCCGCCGGTCTCCGACTGTCCGACGGGGGGCTCTCCTCACCCGCGCCGTTTGTTCTCCGAGTGTTCCATGTCGGCCTCCCCTCCTCCGCGCTGTCCGATGGTGGGGGTCCTCTCCCCTGCGCTGTCCAATGAAGGACTCCTCCTCCACCGCGAAGTCGAATGGGGAGTCCCCTCCTACGCG